CTCCTACCTACCTTCCATGCCCGCCACCAAGTAGACTGCAGCACCGCCTGCAGAACCTTTATTGGTCCAAATGATGTGTTTCTGTGTTCATTGTATTCATTATGAGACACTCTTCCTGTCCTCACTCCCCATTGCTGGGAATTATACAACCCTCTACAAGGCTGTCAGGAGTGTGTGATGTGGGAAGGAGGTTGGGGGGTTGAGTTTACATGCGAGGAGAAGAGAGAAAGGCACGTAGAACCTTTTCCTCGTTCATAAACTCTCCTTCATTCATCACTCCCATCCGCTCTCTCCCTCAGCTCTCTCACTGTTCATCCACACAAGGAGACGAGGGTCTTAAAGAGGCCGCAGCATATCTTTTCTTTCTTTTGTGGTCATCTTTCCCACAGCAAGCAGCATGCAGGGCCCAGACTGTGTTAATCGAATCCTGTCACACACTTGTGGAGCTTCCCAAACCTGCCCTCCCTGAAACAATCCTGAAACATTTATCGCAAGCAGCTAAAATAGGAGTTTTAGCGTTGCAACGGTTTATGGGGTGTAAAGACAGAGCAAGGTCAGAATGACGCACAGCGTTTTCCTAGTTATTGATCACTTTTTTCATCAGCAGTGTATTTATAGATGCAACACTTTGACACACAGACATGCAGCCTCACATTGGCTGAAACAAGTGGAATCATGAGCTGCAAGTAGAAGCATTTTCAAATCCCATCGCATCCATCCATCCATCTTCAAAACTGCTTAAAGTTAAAGATATGATACCTGACAGCTTTTATAGAAGCTAATGGTGCATTTGTTCTGCAGTGCAAACTACGCACTTAAGAACCTTAGAACAGTTTAAAGCATCCATAAATAGTAAAAGGGGAATTTTGACAATTAGTCCCACGCAATAACTTGTATTTGAATTCATTGTTTTATTGTCAACAATCCTTTTTGGGTGTTGGAAGATGCACTCATTAGGTTCATTTAACTGCCAGAAGGGTTGTGCGCACTGGTGAGTGGGCCTGTGTGTATCCAGTGAGTCGGTGAGTGTGACCTCGGTGTGACCTGAGGCTGATCAGCATCTTGCCTCAGCACACATTAGCTAACGGAACCAGTGCACCAGTACTCACTGTTCTAACCTGCTGCAACTCAACCGCTTACTGAATTTGGTTTTATTTGGCTGGATTGTACGTTAGAGCCTAAGTAAGACAAATTCTTACTCAATACCAGTGGAAAACCATTTAACAGGACATTCATTCAATAATACTTGCAAGCAGGAGACACATTGACACACTTATAAAGTCATGGATCAAGGCTACTCCAAGGTTTTCTTCTTCGGAGCAGCAATAGTTGGAAGAAAAACATGGACCCAAGTGCTGGTAATCAACCTTGGATGTAGACGGTCGTCTTTGGTGCACAAGATTTTGAAAATTGACGCACAAACATTTAGATTATCAGATGACCCAGAACACCATGTTCTCTCTCCGTGTGGAAGAGCGCAGACTGTCGTCTAAGTAAAACAGACTACGGTGAAACATTATTTCATTTGTCCCAATAATACAACAACTGATTGTGTGCACACAAGGCTGTGCAGCACATTAGTTGCAACAAACTACACAATCAATTGTTAGTTCGCTCACCTTTCAAGATCTTTGCGTTCTGCTAACAGCTAACAGAGCACTCACTGCTGTAATGTGTCTCAATGGGGTCTTAGCCAAATGTTGGTCATTAAATCACATAATACAACGTTGGTTGTTCCAGATCTGCAACCAAATGAGTGCACCTAGATTATTAGTTATCTAGAGAAATTTCTAAAGTTATGCATCTGTTTTTGCAAGAGTTGGTTTCTTTTTCATAACCTTACTCTTATTTCATTTATTTCTCAGTATAATCATTTTGCAGATAAATATTCTAAATTAACAGAAACTGTAAAACAATTCTGTACAACTTATGGTGTGAACAGCGTTTAGTTGTATATGTTTGTTGGTTTTGCTGGTAAAATGTTTTCTGAATCCCAGCCGATGCTTTTCATACATATTTGCATCCCCTCCTCACTGTAAATCCAGCCATTGTTGTGGCAACATTGTGGCCGGTGTTTTATTGTCTCTATCGGGAAAGCGAGTGGAGCAGAGAGATCACGAGGCTTATACGCACAGCAATACAAAAGCTTTTAAAAATGGGTAAAACAAAATGACGAGGGCCATATTGGTTTTTAGGAAGTATTTGAGCGTTACTAACCTTTGCCTGTAATCTCTTTTCTACACAGTACTCCAGTTTGTCTCATTAGATCCTCTCCCTATTTATTTCAAAGCTTTACTCCGTCCAACATGTGGCATTATGTTGTCATTGGATCAGAAAAAGGCTGGGGACCTAATTATGGATTATTGGACCTCTTGAAAGACAAAAGCTAAAGGGTTGTAAAACCAATTACATGCTAATTGGAAAAAAGAACAAAGGCAGTTTAAAGACCTTTTGCCCCCGGAACTCTTGCATCAAAGTTATGAAGTGACAATGGCAGGAGTTCTGCTGGAGAGGAGGAAAGAGATGCATGCTGGGAGAAGAGAACGAAGGCACTGCTCAAACAGCTGTGGGGGGTCGATAAGGTGGAAAAGGAAAAAAGAGTGGAAAGGAGGCCGTGACAGTTAAATGCGTCTGAGCTGTTTGCTCATGAACCACAATGCATGCGGATTCAGTCTCATGCTCATACAGCCCCGAGGCCTCTTGTGAGATGGATACTTTTTCTGACTCCGTTTGCCCTAAATTGTTGAAAAAACTCAACTAAGCGCTTCTAATGAGATCCCTGGTCCATCTAAGAGTGCCCCTTAAGGGCCCCCAAACCGAGCCAGAACTGTGAAGGCAAATCAATGTCAAAATCTGAGAGCGCAAACGGGGTCTGTGTGCAAATCAAACAGTTGCGGGAAAAGTCTGTCTTTGTGTTTGTCTCCCTTTGTTGTCTTTTCATATCTGTGGTCATTCGGTACATCTTTGCTTTGTCGTCGTTATGTGTGTCTTTGCTGTTGTTTTGACTATTTGGCTTCTGCCTGGTTGGTCTCGGTGAGTGAATCTCTGCAGTTGAAGGCCAGGAGGTGGTGGCTCCTGACACTCGTCCTGTGCCCGGTCAGTAACCCGTCCATGCTCGCTCTCTGTCACATCCCTCTGACCTGACGTGTGCGCATGGACTCAACATTTTTAAAGGAAATATGGAAGAGAAAAACAAAGCCCTGTTGTTTGAGAGGTTCACGCTGGCGGGAGAACAAAGCATTGTAGAAACCGGGCCACAATGTCAGTTATGGCAGAGGGCAGCATGGATCCCATATGAACACGCCTGTGAGAGGAGCCGGGCGCTCACACAGCTAAACCCGCATTCACATGCAAACCTGTGCATAGCAACGCACACAGGTACAGTTACACACTCGATCCCCGTCTTATTCGCCCGTGTGTTACGGCCCATCCTGTGCTTTTCCCTCCTCCTTCGTTTGCTCGCTGTTTATGGCTGAGTTCCCTGGCTGGGTAGAGTGCCTTCTTGTGTGTGTGTGTTGCACAGTATTCAGAGCCTCCTGCTCTGTTTGAGGGCTCCAAAAACAACAGTGTAATCTCCCGCAGCAGGTGGTGCACACAGACATAAAGCATGTGCAGCCTCGGCTTTGCTCCAACCACCCATAAACACCACACTGCCCTCACCAGCACTGTGTGAGCATCTTCAGGATGCCAGTGAAGGAAGGTCTCCATTCTTTTCCTCGTTTTCTGTGGGATTATTTCATCACCGTTCCCTGTAACCTCCTCAGAGCTGCTCTTCTTTCTTTCACATTACCGATTGTCAGCGTGGCTTTAAATCCTCCCTGTGTTTATCGTGCTCCTGTCCTCATCTGTTGCTCATTTACCGCCATATTACCGCAGCCTGCATCCGGCCTTTGGAGAATCAGTTGGATCTTTTTCCCCTGATGCACTTCATGATGCAGATGTGTGTTTGTGTTTTTTCTTCTCTTGTGCAACAGAGAAGTTGCAGTCGGAACAGCTGCTGTGAGATAAACCACATTGTGAATTTCATTTCATTCGGGAGCAATCGGCATAGTTCACATTTGATAACACATTCCTCTTACAACTTTTTCCAACATTCTTAGCTTTCGTGTCTGCACACATGCAACTTTTTGGGAGAATTTACGGTCGGTAGCTGGATTAAACAGAGTAAATGATGCCAACTGCTCTGCAGCAAAAAGCCGCAGCTCCAGTGACAGTGGTTTTGGTAAATGAGCCAAGGCAGGTCCTACTTCCTCCGATTTTATGAGAATTGATGTGGAGTAAATGCAGTATTAAGAGCTTTAGTGTTTGCATTCTCCCTCCGGGTTCTCCAGCTTCTTCCCAGATGGATCATCAATGGTTGGTGCTCCAAGAAAAGCGTGAACATGGATCTCTAAAAGATTTACACATTTTTTATCTTCTACGTTCATCCGATTCTTTATTCGATATGTTTCTCGGCTCTGTAATACAATACGATCCAGGGACGTGATGATCCATCGCACTTCATCTTCACATTATGAATATTTCTAAATACAATTGGGTTTAATTAAATTACCAACACAAATGTCCATTGTAATCTTAAAGCTTAGTAAATGAAAAGAAACCATTATTTTGTCAGTTTTAACTTCTTAATATATTTGTATTGCTACTTATTTTTGTTTAACCTCTGATTTTAGTGTATAAATGTTTTTTAAAGGATTAATTAAGTATCCTCCTTTCATAGGAATCTGTAGTTCTCTTCATATTTTTCTCTCTTGTATTATAATTCCAAATGAAACCATCAAAAAATGATAAGATCCAAGCATCCAGGTTATTTGATCGATGTAATCAGTACGTTAATCAAATAAATGCAGCACTAGTTTCGTGGGGTTAGAACGTAAGTGCCTGGGTTAGCTGGTTTCATCCGCGGACTGACAACTAGGAAACCCTGAGTGCTGCGGTGGACCTGGTCACAGCCGCGGAGGGACATTGCATCCCAAAAAGAAGCCTGCTGTGCGGGTCTACTTTCAGCCGTGACCGGTTGTATCGTTTGCGCCTTTCGGGAGAGGAGGCTGGTCGAAGTGCCACCGACGGCTGCTTACGAATTATAAACATTTTATGCCGAAGAAATAAACCCTTTTCATTTTCATCTCAACGGGGTGCCAAAAGATTTTTTTGCCTTTGTCAAATGACCGTATGCCCGTTCCTCGTTTAGCGCGTAATGTGGGCTAGTTAATTGATTTGTGTCAGTGGAGCAGTACCGTTAGCTGTCAACTGAAGGGAGACATTTTTATTTCTCATCACCAGACGGCTGTTTGCTGCCCAACAATCCGCCTTAAAGCTTCTCTGCTCGAACCCTCAACGCGGCTCATCGGCTGAGGAGACCCGGCTGACTGCGCCGAAATGGGGGTAAGCTCCAACGCAAACTATCGTGGCTTTTACACACAATATGTTGCCAATTGTGTTAAATTTCGCCGCGCAGGGTTTGAGGAAAGGGTTAAAGTAACGACGCGTTGACTGACACCGAACAGCGGGATGTATATTACATGTTTAAGCTAGTGAGGGTCGCTACGCGGCGGACAACGACTCCCGGTACGCCGTCACATTAACGGCTCAGCATCACGCCAAAGTAAATGTCTCACGATACACGACGACGGCTGACATCACGGGGGGGCTGCGGGGTGTGAATGCGTCCATCTTTCCTGAGGAATGTGCTTATTTGTGTGAGTTAATTCCGCCGCAATCGGAGGTCCAGTCGGTGCGACGGAACCGGCGGCGGGCGGTGAGGAGGTGGGGAGGGGGGGGGGGGGGACGCGTCTCTTCTCAACCAGAAAAACAATATATGTTTGTTTTTACCGTCCGCGCCTAACGTCACACAAGAGTCACTATTCAAGCATTATTCTCCCAGAATGCGTGTTGGGGGGCAGCGGAGCGTCGCCTCCCTGCAGGCGGAGACGGACGCGCTTTCTGCAGGGTTCTGACAACGATCCGCCGATAAACCTCTTCTTCTTTTCAACACATGAAAATGGCATCAATAGTATTTCAGCAAGTAGTGCTGCTTCATTCACCGGTTTCTAAAATAAAGAGATTACACCCCCCACTGCTCTCTGGACGGATGAAGGGAATTCACAGCCTCCCTAAACCACACGATTAGTCAGACCGCTGATGCCACGGGCGTGTCACAAACACACACACAGTGTTGTGAGTAACGTGCTGGTGAGATGCTGGGGGGGGGGGGGGGGGGGGGTGAAGCCCCCACTTTGCAGATCATGCAACAAAAGGACGGCTAGAGAAAGGCCTGCATAGTGAGCGGGGCATGGGAATGGAAGCCCCCCCCTCTTCATTTTGCTCCCAACTATTTGGTGCCCTTTCATTGAAACGTGACATCATCCAGGGAGCTGATGGTGTCCGTGATGCCTGGTGAGGATGTCGTTATACCAAATGGGCACAGACAAGTGACAACAAAATGGTTCCTCGGCGTCGGTCAAAACCCTCCCTTCTCCGTATAAATCGCGGGCGGAATGGCCAACACCTCCACCGTGTCTACGTCAGCAGCCGTCACACCAACACTGATCCGCCTGGTCACGAAGGACATCCTGCTTCAGCTGCTAAATGTAGTCTCCTCCATGTCCTTCCAGCAGACAAAATCATTGTTGCCTCGCTGTCGTTTTATTGGAAGGCATTATCCAGTGTTTATAGTCAGCAGTGACTTAAAACATACAATAATACAACGGTTTTACTGCTTCATGAAATCACTGCGTTGTGATTTAAAGCTCGCATTGTAGTCTCGAAGTTGCGTTGCAGTAAGTGGAGCCTGTGAAATGATGTGAGCATGCACTGTAGTTTCTTCTGTGTTGGCGGGTCGCGTGGCTGACCCCTGCTAATGGAGTGTGATGGCCGGCGGTTTCTTCTGCTCCACATTCGAGCGAATGGGACACGGGCGCATCGGAGCCGAGGTGCGGAAATGGAGCCGCTCTCTCTCCCGCTTTTGGTTGCTGCCCGCTAAATCGCCGGAGGGGGAGAGCCGCACACAACCCCCGACCACTGCGTCAGAGATGGGACGAGGACAGGGTGCGTGCTCAGTGGAAACTCCCCGCGTTCAGGCTGGGATTGGGAGGCGCGGCGTGAAAGAGGAGATCGGGATGAAATGGGCGGTCGGTGGGAAACCAGAGAGACCAAAGTCATTTGGTAAGATAACTGGTGCCGATCAATGGACAGAAGCTGACGCTGTGCGAGGCAAACTGATGGAGTCGGGTGGGTGAAGGAACAAGCGGCAGATTAAGCGGCTCTTGGCTGTCCTGTCCTGCTCCTAAATGGTGGAACGAGCTCTCTGAAGACATCAGGACCACAGAGAGCTTTCACATCTCCAGACTAAAGACACACCTCTTCAGACTCTACCTCCACTAACACACTAACTAACTGTAGCTCTTAAATTGTACTTATAACGGCTCTTATAGCAAGTTGTAGATCGGCTTATTTAATGAAATAGTTCTTTCTTGTCTCTTGTCTTTTGAGTTTGTATCCTTATAGTTGAAATGCACTTATTGTAAGTCGCTTTGGATGTCATTATATGACATGTAATGTAATAAATGTAACATAAAACAAAGCACACCATGGGGACCCGAGCATGAATATGTGGGAAGTAGATCAGATTTAATTTAAAATCAGCTGATTAGGGGCTCAATGCTAGCTTATAAAAGGCTTATTTATGCTCCCCAAACCTATGCATACTTCTTCTAATGCTCGCTGGCGTGACGTAACAGAGCATAGCAGTATCAGAACATCTGATCAAATTAGATGCATTTGTTATTACACATGTAATTATGGTAACACCACATGTATGTTCTCCTGGTCATGGACTCTGTTGCATAATTGTTTCAGCGTGTCAATATTTCATTAATGCTGACCGTCAACCTCCCTGTCCTTTTACTAGTTTCCATCTGTGTGTGTGTGTGTGTGTGTGTGTGTGGCGTGCTTGCGTACTACTGCAGACCCGCGATCTGGGTTTTTCCGATGCCCCTGGTTCTGTTCCGTGGGAATTGTGCGTTTCCTGGAATGCCCTGTGAGGTCACTTCGCTGTTAGTGAGGTGACATCGGTGTCACGGGTACCTCGTAGTGTTCCGCGCTTCCTGTAACACCTCCATGCATCAATTACAGGGAGGATGAGAGAGTGACAGCGCAGAAGGTTTACGTAACACATCATCACATTAAAGAGTTCCCTAGGATTGGAGAAAGGGCCTCAGATCATTGTGGGCAGAGCTGGTTGAGGTGGGGCCAAGACACGTGTGCTCAGTTTCCTTTGCTCAGTGCCTTTTCCTCTCTTCTCTGTAGATGGGGTTAGAACGCCATCAGCATATTACAACATCTGCTAAATGAGTAATGACTCATTATCTGTTGATAGCGCTGTGCTTTCCTAAACTGATAAAAGTGTGTGCATAAAACATTACCTTGCTGCATCGCCTCACTTAGGGGCGAGCGAGCCAGCTCGCTGCACATGCTACATGCTTGTATTTCTCACAGTGATTATGGTTAGATATTAGTGACCCATAGGCTAAATAAAGGTTATGGTCAAAAGCACAATTGTTGCAGTTGCTATTTCTATTCATAACAAAATACGTAGACTTATAATACTTTTCCCAAAACTGCAAGACAAGAAGTACATTCATCAACACTAATGAGTACGCTTGCGTGTTGGTTTTGAGCTGAAGGAAGTGGTTTGGGAGTTCTGCTTCTCAGCAAGCACATTAATAATAAGCGCACTAATGAAACGTTTTAATACACCCCCTCCTTTGACTGCCCCCACTGCTCATTTGAGTTATGAAGAAAGGCCCATCAGGTTGGATGTTGCTAGGACACATCACATCCCCCATCTATCAACCATTTTCTGTCGCCCTCTCGGCGTGCGGCACTGCTGGGCGACAGCCCAGAACCCCCCCAGCACCCACGGATCATGCATATTCACAACCTGATGGCTTATCACATGTCCATACCCACGTTTGTAACTGGTTGAAATACTGGTCACGAATGTGGATCTGACTGCCCCCTCTTGATTAAAATGTGGTGCAGTCGATCCGAGTAGAAGTGAGCAGGGAAACAGATGTGCAGCCTGGAGGGAGGAGAATGTAAACAAAGTGGGACGTTGAGGGGAGGGATGGATGATGATGGAAGCCCCCTTAAACTATACGTGTGTGTGTGTGTGTGTGTGTGTGCTAGTCAGTCCATCAGTATTTTCTAGGTCGTTCACTCTACTGATCTGTGTGATAATCTACTTGTGTGTGTGTGTGTGTGTGTGTGTGTGTGTGTGTGTGTGTGTGTGTGTGTGTGATAACAATAATCTATTGTGGCACCACCGGAGCCAGTAAACTCCTCTGTAGGAGATCTTCTATTCAGAAAACGTGAACACTGAATACATGAATAGACTAACTAACTACATATCACATGCTAAACATGGTTCAGCAGCTTGTTCAGTGCCAGAATAGTTCAGTAAAATCCTGGTTTGGACCTGCTGTCATGGTTTTGTTAGTAATCATATGTGCTGCTGCCATTCATCCACCGCTTTCATGTAATGGTCAATAAACTCAAAAAGAATAGGAAATGATTTGAAAATCTGAAATCTGAGGTATAGATCTTCATTTCAATGCCCCTGTTTAGCCTTACAGTTTGTCCAAACACTCACCATGTCATTGGTGTTGGGCTTCATGAGTTTGTGCATTTTGAAATCCCTGTCATGTTAATTCATTCTCAAACTAGGATACACAGATCAAAATCGGCCAGTTTAATGTCGAAGATCTGAGCGGTGATTTCAGCAGATTAAAAACTGGCTTAATATCCCGGCTTCTTCAGACCTGTGGTGCTCTGCGCCTCAGGCTCGGCTGCAGATGTTCAGCGTGCACAATCTGCCCTGTTGCTCAGCACTGAACATCTGGATGTCGCTGAGACCTTTTCTCACAGCCAACGTTCAACACCTAACTGTATCAACTTCTGCTCACCCTAACTGCAAATACAGTTTGCATTTGGAGTCAGCTTATATTTCCAGTTATACAGTCAGCATTATACGTTCACTCCTGAAATGTGAAATAGTAGAAGTGCAGCTGTTGTCACGTTCACCACAGAGGCTTCAGGAGTGAATCCAGCGAGTCACTGGTTGGTCATCTCTTTCCAATTCTTTCAAATGTCGGTTTTGAACCATTCAGCTGATTGCATTGTACTGCGTGGTGGTTCCCTCAAGGACTGGACGGTACACCGGTTCATAGCGGTTCCACAAGAAATGAGTTTTTCTCATACTGTCATACCACTGAACAGCCGTAACAACTGCCGTTGATCTTTGGCAGGCAGCCGAATTTAATTTTACACCTCACGCCGAGCGCTTGGCGGACGGAGCTTCTTGTCTTATGTGTTTTGAGATTGAG